TTTGTTAGTTTTTTTAATAACATAAAACTTGTTTATTTGATGTTTTCCCAGGAATTTTCCTCTGAGGTAAAGTACAACTGAGGAGATACCAGGTTCACTTACCTGTGAGACATGAAGAATAACCACTGACAACAAACACAACACAAGTCAAAACAACAACAAACACAGACCTTATCTTAGACATGAAAACTTTCCATGAAGGAGAGATAAAATACGTTCTATAAAAACAATCTRTGTGAAACAGAAAACTCCAAACTTCAGATAAAAACCCGTCTGTCTCTTCATCAGGAGCCCAGAGCTGATTCACCTCTCAGTTTASAGTAAATCTTAACCTCTGTTCAACTTCAAATCRTTGAGATAAGCCTGAGAAGGCAGCTGGCTAGCTTCAGCAAAACTAGACTGTTGTCAGGGAAACTGTGAATATCCAGGAACAGGTTGTGATACAGAAGTCATCCAGCTGCTCAAAAAGTGCTTAAGGGAGCATTTTTGTTCACTAAAATCTACGTWCAGCACAGCAATGTTTTAAATGTGAGTATKTTGTACAGATTTWGCCCCTCWATGAGGCAGTTTTGGACCCGGGTTGGTAGCACTCTCCTGGAGGCAGTTTTTGAGTTCACTAATGCAGCTGTAKTCYCCTCATTCACCACCTCCCTGAAAGATGCTCTTATGTTCTTGGTGAGACRATGTTTAGAGGAGCCAGGTGATGAACTAAACACCACATTTTTAATACTTGAGCTAGAAAGCWGATTTTGAAATATGTCATCATGGGGGTCAGGATCCTAAAGAATCCTAAAGAAAAGCCAACTTTGACAGGGTTGTGTTTTCTGAACCGTGAGTTTGATTCCCACCCAACTTGGACCTTCCCTCTTCTCTGAGGGCCTCCTTTGACATTTCTGAAGCCTGGGGCCACACTCCTAGTGGAAAGCCAACTTTTTTCATGGGCCTCCTAGGACCATGGGACCAGGACAGGATGGCTCGGGGCCTGGAATTATGCAACATAGTCAAATTTCACAATGATACCCTTCATAAATCATCCAGGGCCAAACCTAATACAGCAGCCTTTATGAGCTTAACAACCTTTAGGAGAGTGCCACAAACCAGGGCCTAAAGCTGCCTGATAGAAGAGCTAAAACTGTATAACATACTCAAACAAAGATTTACAGTTTCCCTGACAATGTCCTAGTTTTGCTAAAACTAGCCAGCTGCCTTCTCAGGGTGATCTCAAAAAACTGGCAAAGACTTGAGTTAAAACAATTTAACACTTAAAGC